TGTCACAAACTGTCATCTGAAACCTGTCTCCCTTAACCCAGGTGTATTCTGGTTGAGACAGATCTTGATAATTAGATTCTATATGCAAACTATCCAACATACAAACATTCTCACGAGCAGCTGAAAAAATACAAGGGAGGCCAGGCATGATGGCACACGCCTATAATCCCAGCACTTGGGAGGCTGAGGCAGGAGGATTGCCACAAGTTCAAGGCCAACCTGGGCTACACAGTGAGTTCTAGGGCTGCCTGAACTACATGGTAGTTCTTATCTAAGACCTTATCTAAAAAATAAAACCAAAAAAATACAAGGGAACTTTTGTCTCTGTTTCCGAAAAAGCAGTCATGACTTCATTTCCACACATTTTCAATTACTGAGAAGAAAGGGTGAAAGCAATTAAACAGAGGCAACCTCAGTACTAAGAAACTGGAGAAAAAATACAAGGTTCTCCCCTTATTCAATCATAACTGAGTGCTTAGAAGACTGAGCGAGAATTATATGGGAAGTGATACGGGCGGGAATGGCAGAGGAGGCATTTCACACAGACTTTTGAAGGCCAGGAACAGCAGGCACAGGCAGAAACATAGCAGACAGAGCATAACACGAAGAGGAACAGAAGTGCAAGGCATGTGGAGGAAGCCAAATTCAGTTCGGCTGTCACCTAATACAGGGAGGAGTATGAAAGAGATAAGACCAAAGACTAAACGGAGGAGAAGCCCTGAAATAGACAATGGTGATAACAGGACTAAGGCCTTTCAAAAACTCAGCAGGTCATTTTTTAAGTGTTAAATTCACTGTCTTTTAGTATATTCATACAGGTGTGCATCCAAAATCACAATCAGTTCTGGGACATTTTCATTACCTAAAAAAAGAGAAATCCCACGTAAGTAAACACTACCCCCTCAACTCCACATTTCCTCCCTACCTCTAAGCAACAACTTCTGTACGTTCTCTATTGATTTGTCCGTTTCGGGCTTCTCATGGTCTGTACCAGATGACCAGGGGAGCCATGCTCCTCACGTCCACGGGGAGCTGTGCCAATGGAGGCGGCTGCTACTCCTCCTACTCCATCAGGAGGGGTGGCGACCTTGCATCTTGCCTGTGGACATCTAGGGGCCAAACTGCCCACCCACTGCCAAGATGCAGGACAGGAGGCTGGAGAGCTGGTACCACCCAGACGCAAAGAAACCATCACAGCCTGCTGGTGGCTTAGAATGTCCAGAGATTGTGAATGTCCTGAGATTGTAAATAAGCTCTCCCCAAATGAGTCAAAGACATGGGTACAAAACCTGAAACTCTGAAATACCTTGAAGTCACAGACACAGGCAAAGACTTCCTGAACAAGACTCCAATAGCACAAAAAATAATAGAAACAATCAACAAAGGTGACTACACCAAATTAAAGTTTTTGCACAGCAAATGAAGAAACCAGCAGAGTGCAGAGACAGCCTACAGAATGGTAGGAAAACTTTGCCAGCTTCCCTTCTGACAGAGGGATAAGATCTAGAATATATAAGGAACTGAAAAAAACACTAAGAAAATCACCCTCATCAATAAATAGGCAAATGAGTGCAACAGACCCTTCTCAAAAGAAGAAGTACGACACAGGAATGGTATTAAATAATTGTTCTAGTAGGCTGACAGCAAAGTTTCAGAAATGTCTAGAGAACCTAGTGGTATCTGCTACTCCCAGATATATGTAAGTTCTACTTACGTGTGTATAAGAATGGAAATTTGAGTGTCTGTAAATTTTTAAATTGAAATTTGAATAGGGCTGGGCATAGTGGCGCACGCCTGTAATCCCAGCACTTGGGAGGCTGAGGCAGGAGGATCGTTGGGAGTTCCAGGCCAGCCTGGACTACAAAGTGAGCTTAAGGCCAGCCTGACCTGCATAGTGAGACCCTGCCTCGAAAAGACCAAAAAAAAAAAAAAAAAAAAAAAAAAAAAAAAAAAAAAAGAAAGGAAGGAAAAAGAAAATACCACACTGAAACCCAGTGTTTTGTATAATAGGTGCTAAGAAAAATACATTAAAAAGAATTTTGCAGCTTTAACTATTACATTTACATCTTCGGTCACTTTAGATTAATTTTCGTATATGATTGAAGTAGGCAGAAGATCTTCTTTTTTTCATCTTTTATCTTGGAAACTCATCAAGATGGAATTTCAAAAGATTAACCTGATGAGAATATGTAAAATGGACTAGTTTGGTAAAAACCTCAAGGTGGGGAAGCTACCGCAGAAGCCTAGACACTGATAATAAAAGAGACAATTGAGGAAAGTAAGCTTCTGATGGCCGGATCTTAGGCATCAATGTACTTTTTTTTAAGTTCACTATGATTCGAGTGTTCGGCCAGCTCTTAGAGTAGGAGGTGGGAAAAGCCCTGCAGAATGGGCAGTGAACAGAGTTCCCAAAGGCTAATCTGACACTGAGCAGGGTTAGTCTTGCATTGCTAGAAAAAGAAGTACAGTACAACCAAGCTACCATCTTAGAGAAAGGATGGAAATATCCGTCATATCAGTGCTCTGGACCTAGCGAGCCCATACTGTTAAAAATTTTTTAAAAGCTCAGAATTTTGTTAATAAGGCTGAGTTCCTACTTTTTTTCTGTTTACTTACTTGTCTGTTTTGTGGTACTGGAAATCAAACCCGTGGCCTTGCACACACTCAGGTAGTACTCTCCCACTGAGTTACATCCCCAGGCCTGAATCCTCACTTTAGCCTCACAGCACAGTTTTATCTTTTGCAGTAGGTAGAGGACCCCATGTTTTGGACATGATGCCTATTGCATAAACTTCTTCTTTTTTTTCTTTTTGGTTTTTTTTTTTTTTCCAGTACCGGAAATCGAACTCACAACCTTGCACTTGCCAGGCAGTCACTGTGCTACTGAGCTAAATCCCCAGCCCCTGCATAAACTTCTGTGTGGTCTCCATCACTCCAGCTAACTGCATCTCTCATCACTGCCAAGTGATTCCAAACCTGGGGGACTCAGTCATGGAAATTCACCTGATGAGATACCTAAGTTTAATGTGGAAGTTCAGTCCCAAAGGAAAGAACTCTCTGTGGGGAAATACTTTCTCCATTCAAAAGCGGAAGACTAATTATAAGAAAACACCCTAGCAGATTGAGCTCAGGTATTAACGTATTGGGTTAATTAGCATTTCCACCCTGGGGAAGCTCAAACAAGCTTCAGCTGACCTTTCTGAACTAAGCTCACCAAACCTTACAGAGACTTTAATCCTAAAAAGATTAATTTCAAGTTTTCTCAGAGCACTTTATAGGGTAATTTAGTGATCCTCAGCTCTGGCCTCTCAGAACTGTAGTACGTGCTTGTGGAATTGTCTATACTTTCTTTTAAAGACTCACACCCTGGTCTTTATCTAGGAGTTCTATGATGAACTACTTGGGGTGAGTCCCAGGTGCCTATATTTTTAGAAGGTTCCACACGTGGTCGCTGAGCCAACCAGGATTTAGAATCAGAGAATCAAGCTAGAATGAAGAAGTCTGTTTCTGACACATGTCTGCCATCATTATGTAGCCCTTTTTAACCTTCACCAATCCCCAAAAGTCTATCTGAGGTTTGGTTTCTGATTATTAAAAGAGGGGTAACTGTGATCATGACTATCTTCCACAATCTTGTGTGAGAGGAAAAACATTTTAGATTTTATAAAAATGCTACAAAAATATGAACACTGAATTATTGTTCTTATCAAGTCCAATGGGCCCCTCATTTTATGTTTACCAGCTTGAGAATCAATTGGTCTACACCTTCCTGAAACATTTTCTTTTCTGACAGCTTCAGGGACATGCCCCTACCTTTTTCTTTTCCATGTTTTTTCTAGTTTCCACCTCTCTGCGGGAGCTCAACTTTGGACCACCGAGGGCTCAGCGAGAGAGCACTTCCTTTCAGCTTTCTATATAAAGATCAAGAAGCCGGGCATGGTGGCGCGCGCCTGTAATCCCAGCACTCAGGAGGCTGAGGCAGGAGGATCATTGCAAGTTCGAGGCCAGCCTGGGCTACAAAGTGAGCTCAAAGCCAGCCTGAACTGCATAGTGAGACCCTGTCTCAAAGAGACAAAAAAATTAAAATATAAAAAATAAATAAAGGTCAAGAAGAAAGCAGTAGGGGGCAGTTGTAGACCGACTTTGAAAATGGGAGATTGCACTCTGACCATTTCCGGACACAATGCTTCTCTTACTCCTCTAACTGCGCCCTTAGATCTATGAGACTGGCCTACCCTCTGGGCACCAGCCAAACCAGAAGGAGACATAAAGACTGACACTTAATCAGTTCTCTCATGGAATTCAAACTTGTTGGGCCAGCACAGTCTTGGATCCTAAAGATGATGATCCCTTGGTCGAGTGCCTCTATTGCCAAGTCCTTGTATAGGTTTACGTTGGCCAAGGTGGAAGATATAATTGATCTCTAAATTTTATACAAATGCTTTTGATCCGCTCACTTTTGCTGTCTCTGGGTGTGTATAAGAGATTTTTAGGGAAAAAAGGTGACCTTACAGGACACACCAGGAATGGAGTACCTTAGACCCTCAGGTATCTGGAGGGGGAGAACAATTTGGGTTCTATCCTCTGTACTCACTGCCACAGAAAAATAATCATGTGGTCCACCTGTGTCAAACAGTGGTTGTGAGGGCAGTCTGACCCCTGCCGGGTTGTCACCCCTGTCCAGGTGCTATAAAACTCATGTGGACACATCCGGTGCTGAGCTACTCTCCTCTGCCTGAGGTCGCTCCTGAACATACCCCCTCACCTCCATTTGTGTACAAACAAGGACCAGCACAACCTTGATTCAGCCTCACTGATAGCAAACGTGTACACTCCTGATTCCCAAGGGCCCTCCCAGGCCAAGGATGGCTTTTAGGAAAAGGTCTCCCATGAAAGCCCTGGTCCTCCTTGTCCATTCTTGGCTGAGAATGGCAAGAATATAAGGTGCTCTACGCTCTTCGCTCAGGCCATTTTTCAGGATTATGGCTTTCATGACTAACCTCGTAGGATGAAGTAATGTCTCCTTCCAAGCGAAACAACAGGCTGTTCACAGTCTGTCCTGGAGTGGCGAGTTCCCCTGACTCCTCGTCCGCTCCTGTAAGGCATCCTGCTGTACGTGTGGACATCCATCAGTGTCGTCCTTGTCACCCTGTGAGCCTTGAGGGGCAGGGGAAACTGACCCAGACGTACTGACTCTGACGCAGCTTACTGTGCCATGGATACTAAATCCTCGGTGTCATGTCTTCTGCTGGCATCTGTGAAACAGTAATGGTGTAACTTATTAGCTTGTAAATAGAGTACAATCAGACTCCAGTTCTGATATATTAAGGCAAATTCCCTAATTTGAAAAACACATGTAATGTGTGAAATGTTTTTGAAAACTATATATATAAATATATATATATATACGCATATGTTTACCTAGTGGTTCTTGCCCTCTGATTGAACACACTATTAAATAACTTCTACTCAGCGTATAACAAGAATCCTTAGAACTCTTATAAATGAGATAAACAATTCAATCAAAGATATAATTGACAAAATATTCTAGCAGACACCTTCACCAAAGATATACACAACGCAAATAAACACATGCATATTTGCTCAATATCATCTGTCATTTGAGAAATACAGATTAAAACAGTAGTGAGATGCCATTATATACCCACTAGATTGATGAGAATAAAAAAATAGAAAATACCAAGTTTGGAAAGAACCTGAAGCACACACAGTGTTGATAGGAATGTAAAATGTTTCAGCCAATTTGGAAAGAGTTTAGTAGCTTCTTTAAAAGTTCAA